CTCGTGATCTCTGCCATCCTGAGTACTGAAAGAGCTGCTGCCCTCTTTCAGGGACTTGTCTTAGTCTGGTTTCTCTTTAAGAACCCCTCCATTATGGTTGAACCTATGGTCCGGCTCCCTAAATCATCGAAACTCGCAAGCCGATCCACCCACTCTAGTTTGTACAAGAGTTTCGTCAAGGTTCAAGTCCCGTATCTGCGAATCTAAGCATATTAATCTTTTGTCCCTGTATATCTATCCCTACAGTCCTACTATCTTTAATGATGTTGATTGCATCTTCGATGCACAGATTAAAAAGTAGCGGCGACAGTGTGCATCCCTGCCTGACTCCCTTCCTAATATTTACTTCTCTACGTTACAACTCCAGCTCTATAACTGCTTGTTGCTCTTTATCTTGCCCCATTTAACACTGTCAAAAGCTTTCTCTAAATCTACAAATCGTATGTACGCACTCTTTCCTTTTTCCATCGGTTTCTCTATTGTTACCTATAAAGCTAGAGATATTGCTCCTTTAAATTTATTCTGAGCTTTTATGGAAAGATAATTACTATGTTCATGCTGACTGTACGTATTTGGACAAAGGAAGATATTTTAAAAACTCACAAAATCAAAACAAAGGGCTTATTTGAAAAAATATTTCACGCATTGCGTTTTGTATCAATAGTATAAATTTTTTGTAGTGCTTGATACCCTCATATTTTTAATTGAAATTAAATTAAATTTATAAAGTTTAGTTTCATTTAGGGATAAATTAATAAAACTAGGAAGTAAAAGAAGCAGGTTGAATGCTGATTGAGATCGTCGTTATTGAGTAAGATAAGTCTTTTGATATGTTAGATATTCCTATTTATTTAGTTGTACAATTGTTTAGAATACGTAATAGAAAATAGTAAATCCTGTCTTTTGTTTACATAATAAAAAAATAAAGACACGTGATAGGTGGGGTGGTGAGAACTACCGGTAGATAGCGCTAGTAGGATTCATAAACGCTGAAATTTAGTAAAACTGTTCTGTAACTTGCTATGTTTTTGTTCTATTATACAGGGTGTTTCTGAAATGAGTAGCAAGCTTGCAGAAGTTGATAGGACCATAAGAGAAGAAAATTAAGTAAATGTTTGGTGGTCCAAAAGCCCTCCGTACTTATACGGACGATATGGCTTCGATATCAATAAATATTAGAATGATACTTAAGAAGGAAAGTTTATAGTTGATTGTTAATAAGACAAAGATTGTGGAAATAGGTGACGTTAAGGGTAGAGAATGAAAAAAAGGACGAATGTAATATGGAAAGGAAAAATACGAAAGATTAAAAAATATAATTACATGGGAAACATGATAGGGGAAAATATTTATGAGATACGTAATAGCGAAGACTAACGCATTATTAGGCAGAAGAATTTTGGAGGAGAAAAACATTAGAAATAGGTTCAAAAGATATCTATGAGAAGGAAAGGGAGGAGGCCAAAGGGAGTTGGAATTAGATTGTATCGAGCCTAACAAGCTTAGATCATGAATTCTTTAATAACAGAAAATAAAAACCAGTTTCGATTATTTTATTAGCAAACACAAAGATTTTATAAAAACAGAAATACATTAAAATTCAAATAAAAATAAAATCACAGAAACAGAAACTCAAAACCAAAACAAAAATGAAAACCAAGAATAATAAAATTATAATGGGTAGGTATATATCCTTACGTTATTACAAGTAGTCTTCGGACCCCCGTCCGAAGATGAAATGAAATCAGGATGGAGAAACTATTCTCCACACTTCACAAACGGTAGTCTTAGAAATGCGTCCACACCCTTTACCATTAAGATGTCTACTGTAGGCGGGAGGGCTCGTGGTGTCAATCGATGATCCGATTCCAACGCGCCCTCTTACGAAAACCCCGTAACTGCACATCATAAAAGCGCGATAGCAGAACTGTAAGGATCTGCCTATCCTGTTACAAGATCAAGAACAGTTAAATGAGTGAGGAAGGAAGAGTATGTGTGTAAATGGGATGATCTGTGAAATGATAAAACATGGTAGAATGCATAAAGGCTAGGATGTTGGAACATTGACAGGGGGAATTTGTGCCAGAATTTTTGAAAGAAATATACGACAAATGATTGCAAGATTTATAATGGGAAATTTATGTACGAATTGCAAGTTTTGGATGAAGAAGGGTGAAAGGTTTTGAAGAATATGTAGTGAGAAAGGAAACTTTGTTGCTTGTACTGGGAAAATATAATGAAAGTGACATGATAACTGAGATCCGAAAGTCTGATTCGTTTGAAAAGTATATGTAACATTAGAAAAGGAAAGCATATTGAGGGGGGGGTCAAGGATAATGTTAAAAAGGAAGCAAGCTAGTATTTAATTTAATTTTTTGTTAATTACGTCTTGTATGAAGAAGGCTTGATTAGAAGAGTACTGTAAGCATAGATATAGATAACATAAGGTTAAAATAAATATATATATATATATAATAAGTGCCTTTACTAAAATATGTACTGCAATTTTTTAGTATAAATATTCGTTTAGTATATGTTAAAAAAATCATTTGGAGTATATTTAGTGTTAAAAACTAAACAATATACGTAATAAATAAGTTTTGTCAGAACTATAAATTTCAAGACAACAAAAGGATGATATATCTGAACGTAATGCGCACGCGTAGAAAAATATCTGCAGTTGATAATTCCCCACCAAACAGAAATAAAAATTTTATAACTTCTCAATTATTTCAATAAATCCCTAGAATTCGAACTAGGTGTAGGTTAACCATAAATCCCCTGCGATTCCCCCCTCGGTGAATGTTTATTTATTGTGGAAACTGTCACTCGAGATGTAGGCATTTAATGTGGGTGTTATTAGGAAAAACATTTTGTTTAAAACTCATAGTTATTATATGCAGATGTTTTAAAACTATAATAGAATACGAAAATAACAGCGAAGTAGGTATGTGTAGCTATTTATAGGATAACACATTTCCTTACTTAATGTGTAACTACTTATTAACGTAAGTAGAAGTCAAGGTTATATTCACAACACTGACATTGCAGTTATTGTACTTGGAAAATAAATAAACCTAGATACGAAGGTGTTATAATTTGAATCAACATTTTACATTTCTTTTATCTAAAGAAACTACTTGCGATTAATTTATTTTTCAAATTTCACCTAAATCTGAAACAAACGAACCTTACGGTTATCCTAGAGATATCGACACTTTGGGAACTATAAGCGTAGTTGAACCTGATTTGCAATGAGCAATAACGGCTGAAGCATTCGATTGTTTTTTTAATTAGTTGATATTTAAAATATATTTTTATTAAATTTAATTTTGGAAGATTAAAATAATTTTTAGGGTCCCGTACCTCAATAAAAAAAAAAAGACCCTTATAGGATCACTTTGTTGCCTCTCTGTCTGTCTGTCAGCCTGTCAAGAGCCTTTTTGTCAATAGAGCGTGGAGGTGAAACTCAAAATATCAAATAGTCAGGTCTGCCATCTTTTGGAGCTGTGAAAAAAATCAAACTTCTATGTCAACGAAATTAAACGTTACGGCCGTTTATGCCGCATATTTTGACACTCGCGAATCATCCTATACCCTACAGGGTACTTCCCACTTAATTAGAATCATGAAATTTGACAAGATGCAATGTCTTATAGCACAAGTATATAGGTATAGGGAAAATCCAAAAACCGTAAATTTGTAGTCATATCATGAAAGAAATAATTTCTTAATTGTAATATTGTAATTATATGTTGTTGGGATCAATTGTGGAGGGAAACTCAAAACATACACGGAAGAAAACGGCAGAAATTATAATATAATTCGCAAATCGTACCTACAGCAAAACTCAATTATAATTTTCCACTGACGACCAATATTACAATTACACACACCGCAAATAATAAAAATGTAAACGTACAGTTTTAACGTTTTTCTCTCAGCAATTCGTTGACCTTGACTTACGAACACCTTTGAAAGACCTTCAATGTAATTATGTATTTTTCTGTTCTATTGAAAATGTGTGTCATTCGACATTGAGAAATCATAATAAAAATGTTTTATGACATTACGGAATATTTGCATAGTGGTTTCGGTATTCTAAGCAGGGTATTTATAAATTTTTATGCGTTCGTAAAATATTATTGTGTTTATTCTTAAAGCAAATACGCGAAACATTCCAGATTAGTTTCATCAAAATTGGGCTTGCCAATAAAATTTCGTTGACAACTGTGACTGAAATGATCAGTGACCACGTTGTCAATGCAGTACTACTGAAGATGTCGGCCGTAATTGCCGACGAAACGTCTGGACTTAACAATTCATTTAGTAGACTACGACTTTTCAGCACGAATCATAATTTTACCCATCAGTGTTGTGACGAACGTTGTCTGCGATTTAATTGCTTATCAGGTTAGAATTGAGTTTGATTAAAATTGGTTCAACCGTGTTAACAAAAAAATTACACGACTCACTTCGTTCAGGTTCTCTTTGTATACCCCAAAAATTATAATCGTTGAATTGAATTAATTGAAATTAAAGCTTTCATTCGTTTGATTGAACCACGAACGAAATGTGTTGTACTACTCTTGTATTTTCTTAAAATTAAATTACTATGACTTAAACTAGGATTCAGTTAGGTTACGTTAGGTTGCGATTCAATAGGCATTTAGAGTTGAAAATAGGAGTCAAAAAGTCAAAATTTCAAGTTGCAAGTCAAACTTTCAAGTTGCAGGTCAAAATTTCGAGTTACAAGTCCAAATAAAAAAAGAAACGTTATGTCTGGCCCTTCTACGCCTTCGCAGTTTAACAAATGTCAATATAAATTTTGTATTAATTATTCATTATATTGTGTAATATTATACTTGCTTTCAACACCTTCCGAGAATTGCGATATCTGTCAGTTTTTATTTTAGACTAAAGTGTACATATTGGGTCTGCTGTACGAAAAGATGCACCTCTACGGTTTGAGGAAATACTTGATTACTACTAATATAAATATTGTCAAGTCACCAGTTGAAGTGACTTGACCTTCATCTAATCTGCTTCATTATCGTCATGCTATCGTTCTAACGCCAAAAAACGTTCACCAGAAAGTAATCTGCGTCTAACATAAGAAAACAGCGAATAAAAATACGATTGCGTAAGTAAGTGAGATAATATGTTTAAATATCAGTTAAAAACAGCTTGAAGACTTGGAATAAATTAGTAGCGGGGCAATATGGTGCGCGCGTGTGTTTTAATTTTGTGTACGTTACCGTTATTTACGAATGGCCTGAAAATTCTCGGATTATTTTCACATTCAGGGAAAAGTCATCATCAAGTGTTCGAACCGTTACTGGTAGCTCTAAGTGAAAAAGGACATGATGTTACAGTTATTAGTTTTTTTCCACAAGAGAAACCACGTCCTAGATTTAAAGATATAAGTTTGACCAACTTATCAATGCCTGGGTCAGAAGTAATGAATGTTGATACGAAGGGTTCCAGAATAGTGAAATATAAGGCAATCCTACTAATAAAGATGTTCGCTGATTCAATTTGCGGGCCATTATTATCGTCACCACAAGTGCAAAACTTTTTAAAAGGAGATTTAAGTTACGATGTTATACTAATCGAGTTTTTCAATTCAAACTGCATGATGGCTATTGTAGAAAAGGTTAAAGCGCCTACAATTGGATTGAGCTCGTGTGTTGTGATGCCTCACTGGAACGATCACTTTGGAAATCCAGACAATCCGTCATACATTCCTCTAATATATATGGATTATTCTGACCAACTCAGCTTTTTGGAGAGGGTGGAAAATACTGTCATGTTAGTGTTAACTAAATTATACTTTAATCTTGTTATGGATTCTGATACACAGAAAACAGTGAATAAATACGTATATGGTGTTTCCTCTATTGCAGAAGTTAGCAGAAATGTAAGCTTAATGCTAATAAATAGTCACTGGAGCATTTCTAGACCCAGACCTTACGTACCCAATATGATTGAAGTTGGTGGCATGCATCTTCCACAACACAAACCTCTCCCACAGGTAATGAATTCATATTTCCTCATAGGAAAGAAATACAAAAATTCCAGATTGGAAACCTTATGATTAGATGTTTGTCTAAAACTGCTGAATTATTTTAACATTCCTTATAATATCATTACATAATGAAATGATGCTGCTGAATTAAATTTGTGATTAATTGTGATAGACAGTCTGTGATTGAGAGCGTTCACTCGACCCTCTGTTAAAATCCTTTTTCTATTGGGAAAATAATGGTAAACCACAACAATATGTTTGCCTAGTATCAGTGTTCACGCATAGTGGTAGGTCCTTCTTGGTTAGCAATCTTCCTAACTAACATTATAAATGCGAAATTGAGTTTGTTTGTTTGTTATCTTTTCACGCCTAAACTATTCAACCGATCATCATGAAAAATTGGACACACGTTGTCGAAGGTACAGAAAAGCACATAGGGTACCTTTTATCTAGAAAAAATACTGTTACCAAGGGATAGAAAAAATTAGTTTTATGTAGTCGATTTCACGCCTTAACTGTTCATTCGATCATCATGAAATTTTGTACACACATTGTCAGGGATGTAGAAAAGGACATAGGGTACCTCTCATTCAGAAGAATAAATGCTGTTCTCGAGGGATAGAAAAAAATTAGTTTTATGTGGTCGTCGATGATTTTTGAAACATATTTAGGACATAAATGCGAGCGAAGCCGCGGATAAAATTTAGTAATTATATACGCCCAATTTTAACATATTATCTATATATGAAGAATGTCCACAGCATTGCAAGCGATGCTATTTTAAGAAGAAAATTAAGTATTTACCGGTTGCAGAAAACGGTAGTAAACAGATTATCTTAATTCAAAGATAATACATACATAAATATTTGGTGCGTTCAAAGACTTAACGCAATTAAAAATTATAACACCTTATCGTAAATTTTATTGCGTGTACTTATACGATTCATGTCTGTTCATGATAGCAATTCCTTTTTAGGAATAAAAGAACAACTTCAACACGTTTTTGAAAGTGTAATATGTTTGTCAAATAGTTCATTAAATATTTTACTATATGAATAGTATTGTAGGAAGTTTAATTTTATCGTTTTATTAATATAAAAATATCAAATTTAATACTACACCACGCTGATACCAAGTGTAAATGCATATCTTGGCATCACGTAACTACTATCATCATCTTATCATAATTATTAATCAACCTGTACGATTAGTTAATACTAAAAATAGGATTCTTACATTGATGAAGTCGCATAATATAATAAAATTGGCTGGAAGAATTAGCGCGTGAGTATCTATATAAAATAATTTGGATGCATTCGCAATGTCAGAATCCTTTAAAAAAATGCGAAATAATATATAAAAGAAGTTGCCGATGTGCCGATGTATTTAAAGCAAAATTGTTTAAACAAATGCTAAAAAATGTTATTTCTAAACGGGACAATTTTTTTCAAATTATTTATTTCTACAATAGGTACTTTATTTTTTTATAAAGTTGTTAGAATTACTGGTAGGCGGGCAGTCTCTCCGGATTACGCCGGAAGGTAGGGCCGAAGGCTCCCTTCATCCACTTTTTAGTAATCGTCTGAATAAATTACTGCCCCAGCATTTCTTTAATTGATCCGAGGAAACCACAGAAAAACCACGGCAGATGAACCTAAAATCCCTAATGCTAAGCAATGACCTAAATCTCCAGGTCATGGTGCTCGGTAAATTCTGGGAAGATTGTGGTGTCTGTTTAATTGAAATCGGTTGCACTTTTCAATACAGGAATCGCGCTTCGCTTCATTTCTTTCTCTCTATTGCGCTTATGTGTACAAAATGAAGTCATACGATGCGAAGTTCTTTCTCTGTTCTTTTACCTAAGGTCCAAATAACCTTTCCTTCTCGTATTTTCGAATGCGGAGATCTGCACCTCGACGACCTGTTCGATTATCAGATGGTGTGGTCTCAGATTCAGATACATATTATCCAAGGCCGTCGACGGTTGGATCTACTTTTGCCAGTACGAGTACCTTGCGAGCTTCTTCAGAAGTCCTTCCATCTCCGATTTTGGATTTTGACCTCTGAAGTGGCTCGTCACTTATGCTAGTGAAACGGTAGGAAGCAACTCCAATCTATGACGGCTTTTAGACCCGAATCAGGACAGCATCAGACCTAATTGTATTTTGAATGTCCTTCACTTTCATTCATACGTATTTACCTATAATTTTATCTTATCGACGGTAAGAAGGAAATTTACTGAGATATAAAACCGAAAAGTGTAACATCGCGGGTCACGCGTCATGCGGCGCGTGTGACCTCTGGTGGATATGTCCAAAAGGAGTCATTTTAACTTGCTTCAAAAGCTAACCTGTAAGTAGCAACCGATAATCCGAAAATTTCCATTTCGACAAATTGGCAGCAGATCGCGTTTACGCTGCACTGTATATGTATTGCACATGCGTTTGTGTTTGTTTTTTATTTGTACTTCCTCTCTACAATTTTGTGTAGTGCAAGTGTAAATGTTTTTAATAAAACCAAGCCAATATTCTTCGTTCGTCCGCTAGAAATAATGTTGTATTTTTGGGGTATTTAGCAATTAGATAATGTAACAGTTTAATTAAACAATACTACTATAAAACATATACAATCTAAACAAGTTTCACTTCTTGCGCGTGTACACTAATACACGCTCGCCCCTGTTTTTATAAATTGTTTTTAATTATTTAAATTATTTATTATTTTATTTACACGTTGTGTGTAAATTTATTAAAATATCGGATAACATTTTGAAATGCGGCCGCCATATTCGGTAATCAGCCATGTCGTACGTACCTATCTTTATCTGGCATTGTGCCCTTAGTATTGTAAATGTGTACAGGGTGTTGAACGTCCAACTTATAAAGCTTCAAACACACGCATTTGTTTTTTTCAAAAGGAATACTCTATACTCTGTACCTGTCGGTAATCATTTTTGAGTTATAAGAAATTTTTGAGAAAAGCCATCTGTATCATCAAAGTCGTTCTAAAAATGCCATAAAAAATACGAGGGTGGATTGATAAGTTTCCGGCCTGACCAAGAAAAACAAGGTTTTTAAAAATTTTTTTTTTTTATTTCTCAACATAATCTCCTCCAAGGCTGATACATTTCTCATAGCGGTGTTCCAGTCTATTAATGCCATCTCTATAGACTGATTCGTCAAGCTCCTCAAAATAACCATTTACAGCTTCGATTACTTCTTCATTGTCCGCAAATCTCTTACCGCCAAGCCATTTTTTGAGATTAGGGAACAGAAAATAGTCACTCGGGGCTAGGTCTGGAGAGTAAGGAGGGTGCGGCATCAATTCAAACTTTAGATCGTTGATTTTAGCCGTCGCAACGATTGACGTGTGCGCTGGTGCGTTATCGTGATGAAACAAGATTTTTTTCTTCGCCAGATGAGGTCGTTTAATTTTCACCTCGTGGCTCAAACGTTGCAATAAGTCTGCGTAGTATTGACCAGTGATAGTATTACCCTTTGCAAGGTAATCAATGTATATAATACCTCTTGCATCCCAAAAAACAGTAGCCATAACCTTGTTCGCCGAAAAAATTGTTTTTGCCTTCTTTGGAGTTGGTTCCCCTGGTCCAATCCACTGTTTAGACTGTTCTTTGGTTTCAGGAGTGTAGTGGTGGACCCACGTTTCGTCAACGGTTACGAATCGACGCAAAAATTCGCTTGGATTACGCTTATACAATGACAAATTTGCGGTAGAAATGTTTTTTCGAATCAATTTTTGGTCGACTGTTAGCAAACGCGGCACCCATCTTGCACAGAGCTTTTCCATATGCAAATGTTGGTGCAAAATATGTTGCACACGTTCATATGACATCTTACAGGTCTCAGCTATCTCACGCACTTTCAATCTGCGGTCTCCCAGCACTATTTGATGAATTTTTTCGATCATATCTGGAGTTGTGACCTCAACGGGGCGTCCTGAGCGAGGCCCATCAGAGGTGCTCACACGACCCTTTTTAAACTCGGAAACCCACTGCTTAACGGTTGAATATGACGGGGAGGATGTCCCCAGTGTTGAGTCCATCTCTTTTTTAATTTCCTTCGGCGTTAACCCCTTCAAATAAAAGTATTTGATGACAGCACGATTTTCCTGCTTTTCCATTTTTACGAAAACCACAGAGGCGTCTTGTTCAGCGTGCTGTCAAACCTACACTAGCAAGGAGATCGGGCTGAAACTATAGCTACAAGCTATCCAAGGATGGTACTATAGAATGTCACCTCAAGGTAGGCCTAGTGGCGTCATCTCTTGGTTAGGCCGGAAACTTATCAATCCACCCTCGTATAACATTCCATTTTAAATGATGTCTACTTCCGGTATAACTAGTATAACTGGTGACCGACGATTAAAAATATTTTAATAATGAAGAGCGTGAGCTTCTAGGTTATTTGTCGTATTTTTGAATCTCTGGTCGCACTTTTAAGTTTAAAAACCTTTAATGAACGGGTTACTTGATAAACCCTTTATGCCAAATATCGATAAAAACCTTCTTATTGTTTTCCTATATTTTTCCCTGAAGTTTACCATAAGAAAGTTGTTTCAAGCTACCGATGATGTAAATATTAAAAATACGCGAGAAACTTGAACAAGTACATTTAAGCTATATGCACTTAGTCTAATCTTGGCAATTGCTTCGGCTAGAAAAGGTTGAAAAGCAAATTAAAAATGTACAACAATACCAAAATGCAAATACTCAAAGTGTGGGATGTCCTTAAAGATTATAGAATCATCATCCCACTCCTTATGATACTGTAACTTCTAGGACATCCCACAAAATACCTTTCTAAGAATATGAACATGACAGTATATTTAATTGTTTTCTTGAAAATGCCTATTTAACCGAAACAATCGTACATTCTTTGTATTTTCTTACTATTTAGAAATCCCAATGAAATCACTTCTACAATTACAATTTAAATTCGATTCTTCTGACAGT